AGCATAAATCAATCAATTTATTCACGAGTTATTCGAACTTAATTACATAAATACTCTAAAATCGAGTTTTTATTAATAATTTTAATTTTTATATTTTTTTATTAAAAAAAATATTACGTGTATAAATCTTTTTTGAACTCATAATTTTTAAATGATTGCTTTAATGTCATACCAACTGATTTAAAAATTAATTGCATTGCTTAATTAGACTTAAATATAAATTCTAAACATCTTCATAAGGTATAAACTACATGATTAATGCATATATCTATTATGTTAGATAGTAAGAATAGCACTATATTTAAGTTAGATATTTAATTAACATGTAACTCAAAATTAATCTAATAATTATCATTATTCTTAAGAAAGATTTTTTTTTCACATTTGAATATTTTCTATGGTTTCTATAAAAATATAAAAAAAGTGATATATGCTGTTAGATAATTTGAAAGCACTAGTTACCAAAATATACAAATCTCATCTCTAAATTCTAAAAAATCAGATTGCATAGTAAATAAAATATAAAATAAGATGAAGAATTAGTCTGATAGTTAAACAGTATAATGGAAAATAAAAAATAAAAAAAACTACTAAATGCACACTAACTTTTTTCTTTACACCCTAATTTTTTTTAATTTTTTATAAGTAAAATTATTTAATTATTCTTTCTCTTTCACATAAATTTTCAAAAATTTATATAATTTTGTTACTTTTCCAAAATGAATTTTCAAAATATTATGAACTTTTCTGAAAAATTTTCAAAAAATTTATGATTTTTGAAAATTTATTTCTAAAAAATTATATGATTTTTTAAAAAATTATTTATAAAAAGCTATAAAACTTCAAAAGTTTATGAGAAAAGTAATTAAGCAATTTTATTTTTTAAAAATTTTGAAAAAAAAAAGATATTAAAAAAATGAGATGCATTTAACATCATTCCCAAATAAATAAAATAATAAAAAAAAAAACCAAGCATATGTCCACCAGTTCACTGTGAATAGTGAAATACGGAAAGTAATCCACGTGCAGCCACATGCTTGACCCAAAGTCCCAACTACCACATCTGGGTCCGACTTTATTTCAGAAAAACCAAAACAATGATTCATCCAAGTTCCAAAAAGCAGCACCACAAAGTGTGAGCAACTTCGGTAACTTCTCAAAGTAACAACATTTAACTGTCAACACTCAGCACCTCGGTTCGGTTTCCTTCCTTTCGAGTTTTGACCGATTATCCTTGTTTCTTATATTTATTTATTTATTTTTATTTGTAGTAGTGATGCAGTCAATTTTGGTTGCCCACAAAAACAATAGTCCTTTTGCTCTTCAATCTGAAATTTCATATTCGGTACGCTGCTAATTCAATTAGTTTGCCAATAAGAGTTAGTATAAGTGATTGAAAACTTCCCGTATCCTTAAAATTTTTTTGACAAAAAAAAATCAATCAATTTGTCTTATTTTTAAAAATTTATATTTAAAAATAAATAATAATTTGAATGTGTTTTTGTTTAATTTCATTTGATTTTACCGCTTTCTTTCAAATATTTAAACATGTATTGATAAAATAACTTTTATAATTAAATTCAAATTTTAATTGAATTAATTCATATAATTTTTTTAAGTAATGATATTTAATAAATTTATAATTTAAATTTTAATGTTCGTATTTTATTTTTTTATTCTAAAATTAAAATCTCTTTTGTAAACAAATAGGTAATTTTATAAATAGTTATTAATATAATCCAAATGGTTGTGATTATAAATTAAAACTTTTGAAAATTTCAAGTTGAAATCTTGAGAAAGAATGTAGAGTTTATGAAATAGAGTTTATGAAATGAAATGACTAGATTTTTCATGTTTGAAAAAAAATTATAATACAAAAGAGGTCTACTTAAACAAATGAACATCAATCTGACAATAACCTCAAATTGGAGAAGTTTATGCAACGGTTGCTATCTGATAGACTTTTCCTAGTGCTATACGTCTAGTTTATTTAAGCAATGAAAATATGGCTTTTATCTTCTTGAAAGAAAATTTCAAAATTGAAGTCAAACCATGTGGAAATCATTCTAACGTGTGTCACACGTTACATTGCATATGGAAGAGCATCGATTCGATCGAGCACATTTGCGAAAAAATAAAAAAAGTGAAAAAGCCAGGTCGGAGATTTTTATTAGGGATGAACAACTTGTCAATTTAATTTTAAAAAATTAATAATTAAATTGATAAATTTTTATTTAATAAATAATTAGATTAATTAAAAAAATTTAAAATAATTGATCATAATCGAATCGAATAAAATTAGTTTAATTATATTAATTTAATTAAATAATTAAATTTTATTAATTTTTATTTATTATAAATAATATTTAATCATAAATTTAATTTAATAAAATAAAAAACTTAATTATTATTTAAATTAAATTATTAAAAAATTTAATAATTTTAATAATATTTTATAATAAAAATTTTATATTAATATTAATAATTTTAATAATATTTTATAATAAAAAAATCTCATCTTAATTTTTTATTTTTACTTATTAAAAAATTAATTAATTCGATCAATTCAATTATCAATTTTAAGAATAAAATATCAATTGAGTTAGATTGATTGAGTTAGTCAATTTAATTAATTAAAAAATAATTATAATTAAAATTGAATAAATTAAATTAAATTAATTGAATTCTTTCAATTTTGATTAATTTAATTGGTTCAAATCGATTTTTACTCGTATTTCTAATTCTAATGAATAAATCTTAGAAAAACATTGATTCATATTTGTAGTAGTTCATAAATTTAAATTTAAATTCAATTAATTCATATATTTATTTTTAAAAAATAATATATATTAATTTTAAATTTTAATATTTATAATTTTTTAAAAAATTTTACGATTTTTTTACTCTAAAATGATAGTATGGTGCGACTATTAATTTATTTGGTAAGTGATAATTTGAAGGAGTACTTACTATCTAAATCGTTACCATTTATGGTATGAATCTGGTGATTAGATTGATCTTACCTCCTTTTGGATTATGATTTCAATAGTTTACAATTAAATATTAGGTTTTATGATTTTTTTTTTTTTTGCAATAAGATAGAATATTATAATTTCAAACATTATTTATGCTTGATTTTTATGTCATTAATACATTCTTTTTTAATAATTTTTATGTCACGTAATTTATTAATATTTAAAATTTAAGTTTATTATATATCATTTTTAAATATAAATATATAAATTAACTAAATTAAACCTAAATTCACGAATCATTATAAAATATACAAATATGAATAAACTTACCTGGCTTTTTCGCATTCTTTCTTTTTTTTTTTTTTTCAATGTGCTTCATCGAATCAACGCTCTTCAATATTTAATGTAAAGTGTGGCACACGTTCCATATAATGTTTTCCACGTGGTTTGATCTTTTTCAATTTTGAAATGCTACAAAAATTTTCTTTCAAGAAGACAAAGAGCCATCTTTTCATTGCTTAAATAAACTAGACATATAGGACTAGGGAAAGTCTAGTTGACAGCAACGGTTGCATAAACTTGTCCAATTTGAGGTTACTGTGAGATTGATGTTTCATTGTATAAGTAGACTTTTCTTGTGTTATAAATTTTTTCAAACATGTAAATTCTAATAATTTTGATTTGAGATTTTTTTATATTTGATAGTCACGAGTTTTGATTAACCTCAAATTGAATTAGATCAAATCTCATAAAAAAATAAATATTTTTAAATAAATATTTTTTATTTATAATATTTAAAATCAAAATTTTATTTAAAAAAAATCAAATTTTTATCATTAAAATCAATAAATACCGATTAAAATTTAATAATTTTCATTTCATAAACTCTGCATTCTTTTTTAAAATTTAAACTTTAAATTTTCAAAAATTTAAATTACGGTCTCAACCCACTTGGATTATATATAATTTTTTTTATATTTATGATTTTTTTTTTAGTTTATACTTTTGCTCTTAAATGGTAGTATGGTACTACTATTTTAATTTATTTGGTAGGCGGTAATTTGAAGGACTACTTACTTTCTAAATCTTTACCATTTATTGTATGAATCTGGTGATTAGATTGATGTTACCTCCTTTTGGATTATGATTTCAATAGCTTGCAACAAGATACTAAGTTTTGTTATTTTATTTATTTTTTTGGAATAAGATGGAATTTTCTAATTTCAAACATTATTTATGCTTGATTTTTATGTTAAGAAAAATATTAATAAATTTTATGTCACGTGATTTATTAATAAAATTTTAGATTTTAAATTTTAATTATTAAAATTTAAATTCTTATATATTCAATAAAAAAATAATTTTAAAAATCTCGCTTAATATCAATTACTATCTAAGATTCAATTTTAAATCGTAATAATATTATTATTTACACATACGGTTTGTTTATATTTAAAAATATTAGTTTAATATTTAAATGTATGTCAATTTTTAATAAAAAATAAATTTAAAAAGTAAAAAAAAATCCAAAAAAAAAGAAAGAAAGTGAAATGATACTTTGCCCTTATACTTTACTTACACCCTTAAACTTGGTTTATTTTTAAAAAAATTGTTTAATTGAAAGATAAGAAAGTAAAAGGACAAGCGGTTTAATCCCATATTACAAAAATAAATAAATAAATAAAATGATATGTAAATTATAGTTATGATTAAAAATTATCATATCTACTTATAATGAAGTTTTTAAAATTTATAGTTAAGATTAAAAAAAGACAAATACCCTTAAAATTAAAAAATAAAAAATAATTATTTACAAAATTAAAAATTATATTGTCAATATATAAAAACGAGTTCAATTAAAAAATAGCATAAAAATTTATTCTTAAACTTGTACGTTTTCACAAGTCGATTAGTACAAGCATTTGAAGAAGTAAGAGTAAACTTCAATCATGAATAAATCTAAACTTTGGAATCACTTTTTTTTTTTTATTTCTTCTTCTTTTCTCAGAGAAAGAAATTTAAGGAAGAAAAAGGAAGGAGACAAAAAGGACAATGAAATGCTGGCAAAACCAACCCAAAAAAAATCAAGTCTGATGTATACCCTTTTTTCCATCATGAAAATCATGGCAAGGATTGTAAATAACTGAAGAAGGAGAGGGCAGAAAGAGAAACCAATGTTGCCAACTGTGCAAAGGGACACGAACTCATGAAGTCTGCATTTTGCCGATAAATACTGAAAAAAACCGACTTGTGACTGTCACAAACGTTTCTCTTTGCGAGTTTCAGGGATCAATACTTGCTCTTCGGAAAGAGAGAAAGAAGAAGAGTAACGAAAAGAAGGACCTTTTTTTTTTTTTTTTCTTTCAAATCACAAAAGGCTTATTTTTTAGTTCTTGTTGTAGGCTTGTAGCGCATCTTTGTTTGCTAGTTGAAGAGAGAAATGGCAAAGAATGTGGGAATTCTTGCTATGGAAATCTACTTCCCTCCTACATGTGTTCAACAGGTGACTTCATCTCTTCCTTTTCTTTTTCTTTCTTTTTTTTTTTTTTTTGGGTTTCTGGGTTTTGGTTGGGTAGTAGAGACTTGAGACAAAGTGAGAAATGGGTTTATTTTTATGATTTTTGAGGTTTCTAATTGCTTGCAATTTTCTTTTTGTTTCACTCTTTTCTTGGGTTTTTATGATTTTTAATTTTATATTTGAAAAGTTTATTTCAGAGATTTCTTTTATGTGATAACTTTCAGGGGTTTGGTTTTAGGAATGACAGTTGAATGATGGCCTTTTTGTTTGATATATGTTATTCATTCATTTTTTGATTTCTTCATATAATTTATTTTTTAAAAAATATTTTTGGGAATAATAATCTTTCTTTCTTTCTTGTTGGAAACCTTTTATTTACGGAATCAATAACATAAACAATCTCTTTTTTTTTTTTTTTTGGTTCTTTTAAAAAGAAAATCACTAATCATATTCCAGTATCAATTTCTTGTTGGACTATAATAAATTAATGTAATAATAAGGATTTTATGAATCCAGCCAATTCCATTAGCATCAATGTTTAAACGTATTCCTTTTCTTTCCTGTGAAACAGGAAGCATTGGAGGCTCATGATGGGGCAAGCAAAGGGAAATACACCATTGGACTTGGACAAGATTGCATGGCCTTCTGTACTGAGGTGGAAGATGTTATCTCAATGAGGTTATGAATCCTACATTTTATATCCACTCTTCTCATATGCTATTAGTTTCTGTTAATACCGATATACAATATGCATATGCAATGAAAAATAAAGCATTGTATGGCTGAAATGAGCACTTATTTCATTTTAACTAACTTGGTACCATTGATTTTCAGTTTGACAGCTGTTACTTCACTCCTTGAAAAGTATAAGATTGACCCTAAACAAATTGGCCGTCTTGAAGTTGGCAGTGAGACTGTGATAGACAAGAGCAAGTCCATTAAGACCTTCCTGATGCAAATCTTTGAGGTACTCTTCCTAGTCATAACGATCTTCTTATCTAGGATATTTGTCCCTTTCTTCCTCTCAGATAGGTAAAAAAAATCTAACTGGGCTTTGGTCCGTAAGGTGTGATTTGAAACATCAAGTGCTTGCTCAAAATGGCTGTTGAAAACTATACCTGGTAGCATTTATATAGGATAATTTTTCAAAGCTTTAATACTATCAGCTTGTTGTGATATGCACATTTTTTTGGTAAAACCCGTGGTTGAATCCTGCTTTATTGCAGCCATTCTAATCATAGATTTCATTCTGTCTTAGTGGATAGATCTCGTGGCTACATTAGTGAAAATTGTATATAACTTCAGACCGAATAACTAGAAAATCCTGATTTCTTTAATTGCATTGCTGTAAGGCGCAGTGTATTTCTTTGGACAACTTTGGTGCAATTTACAATCAAATGCATGTTCTTCACACAATACCCTTTTCTTATGTTAAACAAACAGAAATGTGGAAACACTGACATTGAAGGGGTCGACTCAACTAATGCATGCTACGGAGGGACTGCTGCTCTATTCAACTGTGTCAATTGGGTGGAAAGTAGTTCATGGGATGGACGATATGGTATTGTTGTTTGTACTGACAGTGCGGTATGCTCATTTCCTATACTGTTACTTTATAATCTGCAAAATTTCCCTTTCTTTTTTCCACTCTTATCTCGAATAAAATAATATTTTTTGAAATATCACTCTGTGAATGATTTTCATTTTGGACTAAAAGGTCTAATTTCATACTTCTTCGTTCATATGATCATTGCACACTTTCAGGAAACCAAACATACATTATTTTGCTCGAGTTTGTACATTCATATCAGTAAGATGTTTAGGTTTCGAGTCATTTGTGTTTACTATATCCCTAGGTTGGCCATAATGATACATTTAGCTAAGAACAAACTATGAGACATATTCAGAGGTTATAGAAGCTCTAGTTTTGCTTGGTTTTCTTATTGAGGGCTTTTGTTTTTCAGGTCTATGCGAAAGGACCAGCTCGACCTACTGGAGGAGCAGCTGCAATTGCTATGCTAATAGGGCCTGATGCTCCCATTGCTTTTGAAAGCAAATTTAGAGGGAGTCATATGTCCCATGCCTACGACTTTTACAAGCCCAACCTTGCTAGTGAATATCCGGTAATGCATCCATTTTGCTACTTTTATGGGAAATAATTGTTTACATTAGCAATCATTTAATTGACATATCAATCATCTATAATGCTATTTTTGTTCACTAGGAATTCCTGTTTGAGTAATGGTTCTATCTATTAACATGTGCAGGTTGTTGATGGGAAACTTTCTCAAACTTGCTATCTCATGGCTCTTGATAATTGCTATAAATATTTCTGTCACAAGTAAGCCACTGCAGAAGTACTTGAAGCATTTTCTGTTTTTCTTTATAAATATGAAATTTGGACTAGTTATGCTCTTCAAATGCCTTAATATTTGGCTGCAGGTATGAGAAACTAGAGGGCAAACAATTTTCCCTTTCTGATGCTGACTACTTTGTATTCCATTCTCCATATAACAAGGTAGCTAATTTTAGCAGTTTTTGGTAAATCAATATAATTTCTTGCAATTAATCTTGGGAATTTTGAATTTATCTAAAATTTTCCGTTTGTACTTCTGCAGCTTGTGCAGAAAAGCTTTTCTCGTTTGTTGTTCAATGACTTCTTGAGGAATGCCAGGTTTTTCTTTTTCTTTGATGCCCTCAGAGATTCTATTGATTGATTCATCTCTGTTTGATTATTTACTTAGTTTACATAATTTTGTAGTTCTGTTGATGACATTGCTAAAGAAAAGCTGAGTCCATTTTCAACTTTGACTGGTGATGAAAGCTACCAAAGCAGGGATCTCGAGAAGGTCTATTTCAAACTTTGTTGATAATTCCAAGTTTGTGACAAATTTTTGGAATGTGAAATGACAAAAACCAAGTTATATTAGCTTTGAGTGATATCTTTTTTATTTCATTCGGTATGCCTGATCCATTATTGTATTCTGTAATGACAACTGGCATAGTAGATTCTTATTAGTTTGCTTCATCAAAATTATGCACAACTGAAAACGGTTTCTAGATTTGATATAGCAGAAATTCTTTGTTTCATACTTCTTGCTGATCCTACGTGCTTTCATGCATTTATTGCAGGCATCCCAACAAGTTTCAAAGCCCCTTTATGATGCCAAGGTGCTACCAACCACCTTGATACCCAAGCAAATTGGCAACATGTACACGGCATCTCTTTATGCTGCATTTGCATCCCTTATTCACAACAAACATAGTGAATTGGTAAGTGTTTTAATTTTTTTTTTTTCAAGTATGGAAGTCTGCTGTCTCTGCTCTGTTTCTAGTTACATCGGATATATTTAATGGTATGCAGGCAGGAAAGCGGGTGATATTATTCTCGTATGGAAGTGGTTTGACTGCCACAATGTTTTCATTGCGACTTCAAGAAGGTCAATATCCCTTTAGCCTATCTAACATTGCAACAGTGATGAATCTTACTGGGAAATTGAAGTCAAGGCTTGAGGTAATGCTCGCCCTTTCATTTTCAGCTGATAAATGTATAGTTTATCAGATATCATATACTTTTTAGATATCTACAAAGCCCGGGACATACAACAATACAAAACTCAATTATCATTCTACTACTTTCATGCCTATGAATTTTGGGTTTTGTGATGTGATTCACCATGATCAGTTGATAGGCACACCTAACCCACGTATAATTCAACTTGAGCACATTGAGGAATTTCTCTTACTTTTTTTTTTTGAGTGCCATAAACTCAATTGAAAGGATTATTTTCTTTATTGTTTTATTAATGTCATTGAAAAGTTTATAATATAGTTGGTTTCATGCAGTTTCCCCCTGATGAGTTTGTTGAGACTTTGAAGCTCATGGAACATAGGTATGGAGCCAAGGACTTTGTAACAAGCAAGGACTGTAGCCTTTTGTCTCCTGGAACATACTACCTCACTGAAGTTGATTCCATGTACCGGAGATTCTATGCAAAGAAGGATGGGGACCGTACTGCCTGTGAGAATGGTCCTGTTGCCAATGGTTGCTGAAGAACAGATTTATCATCCCCAATGCCAGAAACGAGGCTTGTTTTAGATGTGTTGTTCAGTAACATGAACTGGGTTCCATGTGTATTTTAAAGAAAAATAGTTCTTTCATCAGCAAACGCATTTTTCAGCCTATTTTCTTTTTTCACCCCTTTGTAATAAGTTATCATATCTATGCACTCAAAGGACCTTCAGATTTAAGTATTATAAGCTTTGTTGCAGTAAAAAATCACTTCAATAATCACTCCCTTGAAACGTTTAGGCCTGGAATGATTGAAGCATTTATCAGTGAGACTGTTTCAGTCATCGGTCGTCTTGAAAAGCTTGAACTTAAACCGTCAGGGGGACAACTTGATTCTTGTGGCAGTGGGGATGAAGGTTGACATTTTCCATATTGAGATAGATCGTCTTATAAAGTCTTGCTATAACATCTAGCCAAAACTGCATGTTTAAGAAATTGTATTTGTATTGCCAGAACCGAATGTTTGAGAAAATTTTTCATATTAACCCGACACGGGCAGTAAAGCCCAGACTTGTGTATGATGCAAATGATACAGGTTACATTAACTTCATCTGCAAGCAAGTTTACAATACCACTACTGCATGGCTTATCACAGATGACAACAGCAGTCTATACGCCAGCACCCGGCCTGGGATCTCAACTATCCTTCATTCTCTTTAGCTGTAGAAGATGGCCAACCAATTTATGGTGTCTTTACCAGGACATTGACAAATGTTGTCTCACCAAACTCAACTTACATTGCCCCTGGTTTCACCATCACTGTGGAGCCCCAAGTTTTGTCATTCTCAGCTTTGGGAGAGAAGAAATCCTTCACCGTGAACGTCACCGGCCCAACGATTTTGCAGCAGCCGATCACATTTGGTAACATAATATGGACAGATTCGGATTATAAATATCTGGTGAGAAGTCCAGTTGTGGGCTATAACGTTCTCCCCGGTCCCTATTACTACTGCAAGTCTCAAAAGAAACCGACATCCAACATCCAACATCCTTCCACGCATCGCAAGAACGGAATCCTCCGAAGAAACTAGAACCATTTCAGGATTTGACAGGTTTGCCTGCATTTGTGAAAGGGAATTTCAATTTATTATTTTTATTCCCTTAATAATAAACGTTTGTAATAAAAGAGCTACAAATTTACTAATTATATAAAATAAAATTCTTGAATCATAGCCGTGAAAGGCTCTTAACCTTGTGGGCGCGATTTTTATCTCCTTTTTTTTTAATCTCATTCTTAGTTAAATAAATATAAAATTTTTGTATTTATATCATATAAAATATAAAATATATATATATTTTTATATAATATTTTATTCAAAAATTACAATCCATATTAACATAAAAATATAATATATAATTTTTTAATTATATTAAACTTATATATAATAATTATTAAAATTTTAAATGATATTATTTTTATATTTTTTTCGTATTTTATTTATATTCTATTAATATATCGTGTTTTAAATTATAAGTTATTGAACCGAGATGATTTTTTTTTATTTAATAAATAAGAAAAACGTGTCTCTTGATTTTTTGAGAAATGGAAAAACGAATCTCTTGAGTCTCTGCAATTTGCTCTCATCACCTGTCCTAAAAACTCTTCTTAAAACCCTAATCCTCAAACAAAATATCCCCAAGATCAAAATCAAAATAAAATATCAAAGCCAAATAATAAATAGAAAAAAGTTATTGGCAACTTGAACGAAGATGCCGAACCTCGAATGTCGTATGTACGAAGCGAAGTACCCAGAGGTGGACATGGCGGTGATGATACAAGTGAAGAACATCGCCGACATGGGCGCGTACGTTTCGCTCCTTGAATACAACAACATCGAAGGCATGATCTTGTTCTCGGAGCTCTCCCGCCGTCGGATTCGTAGCGTCAGCAGTCTAATCAAGGTGGGCCGAACCGAACCCGTGATGGTCCTTCGTGTCGATAAGGAAAAGGGTTACATCGATTTGAGTAAGAGGAGAGTTAGCGAAGAAGATATTCAGGCTTGTGAAGAAAGGTATAATAAGAGTAAGCTTGTTCACTCTATTATGCGACATGTCGCCGAGACTTTGGATATCGATTTGGAGGTAAATTTGGTTTTTTTCTTTTTTAATTTCTTAATCCTTATTTTGCAAACTTAGGAACAATTTTGATTGCTGTTTTTGGTTTATAGGACTTTTTAGTTTTCTTCATTTGGAGATGAGGAATATTTAGAGTTCAGCCATGCTTTAGTGTTAGTGAATTGGAAGTAAATTTTTTGTGTTTTTGGTTGATTGAGGGGATTTTGGTCATTGTTCTATGGTTTTTTTTTTTTTTTTAAATTTGGTTCAGGGGATTTGATGTTATTTGAGACTAAGGGGATACTTGCTAATTGATTAGGAATTAGTGTTTATCAGGAGATGTGTGTGTTTTTATAAAACCAGAATGAATTGATGATTTCCTTGATGTAGTTTTTAGTCTAAAATGCGGTAATTTTTGGTAATTTTCAGATTGCGCTTTACCTAAATTTGTTAGAAAAATATGGAAAAGCTGATAGGTTGGCTTATGCCTTATATGAAATCTGTTACTTTTTTAGTACAAACAGTGAGAATTCAAGGATTAAGGAGAAGATTACGATGCATGGGAGGAGAGTGCAATGAGGAGAAGCTAGCATATGCATGCTTTAATCAAAATTATCTACAAATAGCCAGTGTCAGAAGGGTTTTCTGTCATCAGCATGCAACTCACTGATACTAATTATTTGTGACAGGAATTGTACATTAAAATTGGCTGGCCTCTATACCGCAAATATGGTCATGCTTTTGAGGTATGCCTTCTTTTGAAGTGTCATTTTATCTTCATATATTGTTACCATGGTCTTAATTTTTATGTTTGCAGGCTTTCAAAATCATTGTGACTGATCCTGATTCTGTCTTGAACACCCTCACCTGTGAAGTCAAAAAACCTGGCCCAGACGGACAGGAGGTAAAATTTGAATTTGTGAGATGCATGAAACATTATTTCTTCAGCTGATTTAAGTCTCTGACAATTTCTCTCTTTAGGTGACTGAGGTGGTTCCTGCTGTGACTGAGGAAGTCAAAGATGCATTAGTAAAAAACATTAGGAGAAGAATGACTCCACAACCTCTGAAGATTCGGGCTGATATTGAAATGAAATGTTTCCAGTTTGATGGTGTTCTTCACATTAAGGTCTTATTTGCTTAAACTCTCTCTTTCTCTCTCTCTCTCTCTCTGCTTTGTTTGTGTGTTCACTTATATTTGTTTTCAAATTTACAGGAGGCCATGCGCAAAGCTGAGGCTTCTGGGAATGATGATTGTCCTGTTAAAATCAAGCTTGTTGCTCCTCCACTTTATGTTCTTACCACTCAAACACTTGACAAGGTTAGCTTAGTGTCTCTTTTCAATCCGCCTGCAATGAATTGTTTCCTCTAACATGTCTCTGAAGTTTCGACTCAAAGCTTTTAGTTCTGAAAGTATTTGCATTCCTGTGCTATGCTTTTATGAAATTTTCTTCTGTTAATCTTGTTGATCCCCGTCTAAGATTCTTTGCCCTACTGGAGTTATCATTTGCAGTTGTTCACATCTGATTCATCTGGTGATATTGCTATCGCATATATGCATGTTTGTTTAACATTTTTTTTTCTTTTAAATTATGTTATTCTTTCTTGTGTTGGTCAGGAGCAAGGTATAGCTACCCTCAATAAAGCCATTGCAGCTTGCACTGAAGCAATAGAGCACCACAAGGGTAAACTTACTGTCAAGGAGCATCCTAGAGCAGTGAGTGTCCATCATTTTATTTCAGATTTAGTTGTTTTCTGTTTTAATTGTCCAGTTGGTTTTTAGTTCAGTCTTAATGTCCTTGCATGGATAGATTTGTTGGTTGCTTACTTTGAACATTTTAATCTCGCTCTGGAGATTCTCACTTGTTGCATTGATTTAGGTGAGTGAACGGGATGATAAATTGCTTGCTGAGCACATGGCTAAGTTGCGTAATGATAATGAAGAGGTCAGTGGTGATGAAGATAGCGAAGAAGAGGAAGACATGGGCATGGGAGAAGTTGATGTTGAGAATGCGGGTCATGGAATAATGGAATGACTTTGCTTCATACATGAGCATGATGGTTATCAATTTTTTCCCAAAACTTAATTTGATTTTTCCCCCTTTTTTGATCCTCTATTTTCCAGGCAGTTCAAAACCTTTTGAGAGTGTTGTCTTGATGAGTTGCTTTGATAATTTACAATATCTTTAAGCAAGTTTAATGGAGTATACAGATGGATGAGCTATCGATTCAAGCATTCAAAATCTCGACGGTGGTCTTGTAGAGTTCTTTCCCTCCTAAGTGAGTTGCTTTCAAATCATATGGTTCTTTTTGGCAAATGATTAATCATATGATGTAAGCATCCCATATTATATGTGACTTTCTACAAACCATTTGCAAGCAATCTCGTTCGATAGAAAATTACATGGATGAATTGCCAAGTGGGGCTAATTCCTGACTATCAAATCTTTCTTTGAGTCTTCTGCTAGCTTGCTTGAAACATAGATCTTTCTTGGCTGTTGCAAAAAGTTTGCCGTTTTCTCCTACTTCATTGGAAAACTAGGAGCCATAGGTCCTCTAGGACAAGCAACAGGTTTTTTGTACCGGTTGAGGCGATGTTTTTCACTTTCTATTTTCAGGAAACATGTCTTCGAAATTTTTGTTGGGGCTTCGCCAAGGGTGGGACTGGGCCCCTGGGGAGGTACAAAAGTACAAATTAGTAGTAATATTGATTTATTTTTAACTTTTCATAGTAATATTCTTATCCATGCACCATGTCCCATACGTTTTATGCTGGGGCGTCTGTGGTTGACTTGTTATAAAGGTTAAGAGTTTTGAGTTTGATGTGTTTTATGTTAAAAATTAGTAATTTTTTAATAAAAAATCCAACATAAAAACATTGTAAAAGTAAATTTTGAGACATCTTGAGTAAAAAAAATGGAATATTTATTTATTTTGACATTATAAAAAGAAATATCGTGTCCATTTAAAATCTAAATAAATCATATTTCACTAAAATAAAAATCCTAAATAATATTTTTATAAGATATTATGGAGTATATAAAAAAAATATTAATATTCTGTCAAAAATTGCCCTGCCAAATACTGCTGCCTACAAGAATATGGGCCAAATTATCACCAACCGTTCATCACAAATTGGGTGGTTGGGATATCAATCAACAAGCAGATTCACGTGGAGGAATTTCGCTATTGTAGCGCTGTTAATTAGATACAATGATGAAATTATTCAACAAAACTGACAACATGTGATGTGTGTCAATGAGAACAGTAGACTCAGGTTGGAATAGGAGAGCATCTCATGATCCGAAGGGAGCCATGGCTGATAGGTAGTTTATGAAACAACAAATCTTACAAATTAAAAGTATATTCATAATTAGATATAAACCATTTTCAACCGATTTATTCAAACGTTAATATATGAATACAACATTGGAATACAAATACCAGCAATCCTTTGGAGTCATCTGGGAGGAGGTTGCGGAGATACCACATTCACATCGACACCCACATGAGCCAAATCAATAAATAGAACGAAAAAGGAAAATCAAAGAATTCATAACCTAAACTTTCAAGCTCCATTGCTGTCTTGGTTCACCTTGAACACAAACTTCAGTTTTACTGGGATCAAGCCGCAACAGTCTTCTTATTTGGCTCAAATACGTACTTAACAAGAGACTCCTTGATGGACAGGAGTTCAGGGAATTCCTTCTTCAATTTGTTAGCATCAAGTTCGTTATTGCTCCTCGGGGCAACGATAACCTTAGCCTGCTCCACAAGAGTAAAGTTCTTCCAGGTGAAGTTGGAGTCGATGTAGTCACGGTACATTTCTAAGATCTCGTTGTGACTGACCACTCCAGGGTTGGTAAAGTTCCAAATTCCAGTGAGGTTTCTCTTGGCCATCTCAATGGAAATGGGAAGAAGTTCGTCCAGGATAGTCATGGAGTTTGGAATGTTGACCACCTTATCATATCGAGTGATTTTGGTGATGAAATTTCGAGGATTGGCTAGATCAGATGAAATAGGCATCCTAACACGCAACGTGCAAACGTTCTCATAATTCTTGAGCAACTCCTCCACCTTTCAGTTATCAGCAAAGATCCATTATTACAATAACAACAGAATTCAGATCTAGATGAACTAAACTAAAACGAGAAAAAGGCAAAGCAGATTCAGGACCATCCTATACTACATTTCTAATCGATAATCCTTACTGAATCCTAGAATTTCCAGCCAAACCCAAGTTTAACAATGCCAACAGTTGCACTAAAAAGTTACAATTGCTTTTAAAAAAAACTAGGAAATATGAAAACTTTATTGCTGAAAACAATAAAATATTCAATAAAGATTAGAACTTGCTTGCATATAAACCATTAAACAACCAACCAACTTTATAAATCTAACATAACCAACCCAACAGCTTTTCCTTGAAATCATAGGTTCTTAACAACCTTTGCATTTTCCAATGGCAAATCAAAGAAACGAATAATCAAATCTAATAACATAAGTCGCAAATTGTTAAAAGGAAAAATTGAAACCTTTTTTGTTTCTTGCTTACCATAGCCTTAGTCTTAGAATAAAAGGAACCGGTGAAATTCGGAGTATCCTCTTCCTTAAACCCGACACCCGATTCGATCGGATGAGCGGCATCGTACTCAAAGATACAACCCGTGGCATAATTTATCAAGACAAGGCATTTGTCCCTGCAAACGTCAGCAAGGGTCAGAGTCCCGACCACATTGGTTCTGATGGTCTCGACCTTATGGGATTCGCACCAGTCGACGTTTGGACGCCCGGTGACTCCGGCGGCATTGAATACATGGGTTGGTTTCACGGCAGCAATGTCGGACTCGAGAGACAGCCGGTTCTCGAGACGCCCTGAGCCATACTCGAAGTCGATTCCCTTAGATACGCAGAGTTTGCCTAATAAACCGCCGATCCAACCAGTTCGACCGTAGATCAGAAACTTCAATGGTTTCTCCGATGAGCCATTTGCCGGAAATCCCATTATTTTATTTATTTACTTTCCTAATTTTGGTCTTTGAAAGAGAAATGGAGAATGCAAAGCAAGGTCAGATTAAGTGCTTCACATAAATAAATATATGTAAGGAATGAAATTACACATGGTAAAAATTTATTTTAATTTTTAATTATTAAATTTAATGAATATATGAGATTAATTTTTTTATTTTTTTATCTTTTAAGTTTACTAAATTAAAATATATATATAATTCTTTAATTTTAGACTGTTGATTCCTCTTTATATACACAGACAAATAATGAGGCCATTGTTTTTTAAAAAAAATTTCTTTGGATTTATTTATTTCATGAATAATGTACTGATTTTGGGCATCCTTTTTTAATTTTTAAAACCCCAAAAAGAAAATTAATTTAGTATGGAGGCTCAGACACCATGTCCCATGATATCTGTTTGACACAAGGATTGTCAGCTGTTGATCTCTTGGAGATATGAACTTAACTGAAGCTGATGGTACTGGAACACCACCCTTGTCTTTGATTTTTCGTCATGCTTGAATCTTGGACTTGGATCTGAAATTAAGACACGGAGTCCCATTGTCCAAAAGAATGGGGTTGGTTCGAGGGATAATCAGTTACCTTGTTCATGAAAGGGAACCGCAGGTTCAGTTGGGACCCGCACCCACTTTTCAAAGATGCTGAGCCACCTGACCTTAAATTCTTGTTATTAAGTTTAATTACGCTGTTTAAGCACCAAATCTTTTTTAGTATGAAATTTTATGATTTTAGCCGATGCTAAAGTCCTATTAACCTTAAATTAGTCTGGTTTTTGCTATCCTTTCTTTAACCAATACCATATTATTTACTACAATAATTTATTCAAAAGTTGATTACTTTCTGAATTTTGTTTTTTTAAGGCAATTTGATTAACCTATTTGTATCTTGAGAAAAAAAAAAGCACTAATTATTATTTTATGAACATTTTTTTATGAATTTGCTTAGTGATACTCATAAAACGTGTTAACAAGACACCATTATTACTGTTGCATTATCATTATACTCAATATTATATGTAATTAGTAACCAATGTTGATGCACATCTTTCACCTTCTGTTTTGGCAAAAAGAAGTGTTGGTTCAGATTGGCTTGATGATCTTCAATCTTTGTTGCTCCAATCAGGATTTTTTTTTTGACATTTTCTGTTTATAATTTGTTGTGTGTGTGGGGAGAGAAGACGAATAATTTTATGATCACTGATCTGTGATGCAGACGCTCCTACAATCATCTTCCCAATGGTGGCAAAAAGTTGAGTACTGCAAACCAGGTGATGAAAGTTGACAGATTTGTATGGTTGGTAGACTGCTCTTATGGGTTGCACGAGCTGAGCTCCATCGGAAAAATCTGTAAAAAGCTCACCCGAAGTCCTGAAGGAGATCATTTTGCTTCTGTTTTCAGAATTGTAGCAGCAATTACTCGCTTCTCAACAAGTAAATTTTGGATAAATATGATTATTAGAAACTGAAAGGAAGCATGTTTACTTGGTTAGAAACTTGAATCTACACACTTACATGTAAGCCATAAAAAACTCAATCTTACAACTTATACCTGGTTTTGAAATCATCTAACTTCCCAGGTTCTTTCAGTACATTCACAAAATGTTAGCCCACGGCTGTTTATCCCAAGAGGTCATATAATAGCTATACCAACTTCATCATGTCGAAACTTCCTTCTTCTCCATCCCTCATGGAAGTCATTTTATTGTCTATCTTTTCCGCTTGGACTTTAAGGAGGTCACAGATTGAGAGTTACTATGCCAATTGCGCTTCCTTTGGTTTATGAACCAGTTGTTGATTTGCTTTAGCTGCAATCCTGTCTCCTCCACAAGTTTGGCCTTGTCGTCTTCCTGTAATTATCATATACACAACCATGTGAACATCAAGAGAAGTTAAATGAAATTATAACTATGGATCATTTGATGTGGTATAGCTAATTTGCAACTCAAATTCTGATTGAGTTTTGATTTTGTGGAAACAGCTTTAAAGATCGGTCATATTCTTGTATCATCCTGGAGTTCCACGTCCTCTCTTTAAATGAAACGACTGAAGGTATGGTATTGGCAAAAGTGAACCTCAAATGAGATCAAACAAATTTTTTCAATAGTATTGGAAGTTGTAGTTGATTACAGTTGGGTATGGCCACTTCGAGTGTTCCTGCCACCAGTTCTTCAGCACTGAAGTTGTGTCACCTGGTAATTTTCCAGCCCTTCTTTTTCGTAAAATTTCCTCCCTCACATCTTCAATTCTTGATTTGAAACCCTGTTCGGACATAGCAGATTGTGTTACTACAATTTATTTGCTATGATGAACTGATGATCAAACTAATATATAATTTAATCAGTAACTCTGCTGCTTCAAAGGCAAAGGTTTTTAGAATCTTGATCTCAAAAGTAGGAAAATTTTTCATGGAAAATCAACCAAGGAAAGTATACCAAAAAATGCAATATAAATCCTATAGCAACAATGATTTAAAACAAGCACCTGTTTCAGTTCAATTTTCAGCTCCTGACGAACCCTCTCCATCAAAGATCTTTCAGATTCTGTAGGAACGAGGGGACCAAAACCCATTAAGTCACGACCATCAGAGCCAGATTGATCCAAAGAGAAGTCCATCTGCATCTCATCCTCATCATCTGACATTGTTGCACCTGTGCTTTCAGCCAAGGTTACTCCTGAAAAAGGCAAAGGAGTGATAATGAGGAAAAACTCACTAAGCAATCATTATAGTTTGTTAGACCAAAGGGTTGCACTAGAAATCATTGTTGGAGTAGAATTACTATTTTACTAGTTTTCAAGGCAAGCTGATCCTCAGCTTTTGTTGGGCTAAGCTGTCTTTCTTATCCTGGAAACCCAATACAAATACAAATTCAAATTCAACACCATTTTTTAGGGCCTGTATTAGATTACCACAATTTGGATACAAAACTCAGATTCTGCATCTTATGTTACTTCAGTCTTTCTAACTTGGCATGCATCAAAATAAGGACAAGCATCTATAAATTTGAAGGGACAACTGTCCCACTTCTAATTAAATGAGAGGCAATAGAAAGATTAGTCCTTTCCTACTAAACATAATAGCTATCTAAGGTAGATCCCGTAACATGCATGATGTCCCAGTTACCAGATGATCATGACATATGATAAAAATTATACTTTATTAAATCCATCTTTTATTTGTGCAAAAATGACATGATCCCAACACTCAGGACCACCATGATTGTGGCATTGAGCCTTTGCTCATTTATAACCACATTCCACAAATTTTATGCAACTATATTATGAATAAATGATGAATGCTACTTCATAAATCAAAACTAGAATGCTTGTCATTGTGAAAATATTACAATAATTCACTTACAACATTAACATTTGCATTTTATTAGAATGTTGCTTACCTTCTTTTTGGAGATTTTAAAATTTCAAGCTATTTACTTTAAAAAATTAGTGTATTAAACAGTACTATTAACGTAATTTGCTGGGATTTTTTCCCTTTTTCTGGATGCTGAATAACATCATAGCTGAGTTGATGGCGTTTCAATATTTTCCTCATTATTGATTTGTTTATTTGGAGTAGCCAAAAGTAGTTCCAGAGTTGTTTTATGTGTACTTCCAATATTCTGATATCAACAGTGCTAGCCTGTTAGTAGCCTGTCGTCAAGAGCTGATATTTCAGAAACAACTGTTTCAGGCTTCAGCCCCCGTAGACCAGCTGATATCTAAGATAAAAATGTTATCTCCAATTCATTAAAATTGTAAACAGAAGCAGGCACAGAACTTAGAAAACAAAATGCACAACGCTTAGACGCCAATTGCCAGAAAGGTCTGAACAATGCGAGCATGACTAGGAGCTGCCAAACTGTCTTATGATGTTCTCAAAGCTTCCCAATCCCTAAAAGCACCAAGTTAGAAACTGCCCACTTTTGTGCTTCTCTGACGGAATTTTGTGCCAAGTCAAAGACCCAAAATTAATATATATTCCATTAACTTAAGCAAAATTAGCCACATAAATTAATTCACTGAGATAATGTTGGTTTCATTCTCTCTATTTATTGTCAATTTTAACAACACAATCATATAATTTAGCGCCACGAATCACATCGATAAAAGAAGCAAATGATCTTAAACTTTATTGAAACGTGAATCCATGACACCAGCTTCAAGTCTAGACTCTAGGCCGTAGACTTTGGTTATATATATAGGTTCATAATTAAAAAGAAAAAGAGACTATATTATGGAAAATAAAGTATGTGAAACATTATCTTGTTATGAAATCATTTTATAGTGGATACTTATGATTGGCTCCATCTAGGACCATGGGAATCTAAACCTCCAACACTAAGACAATCATGTGGGGGCAATCAGTACTGAACATGATTCATGGAACCTTAGAATCCAAATATTCCAATGCAAACCTTATAATCAATTGTTGGCTAAGGTGGTAATGGTGGTGGTGGTGGTGGTGGTGGTGGTGAGCGGATAAGGGTGCCATCTTCCACCAAACTAACTACCCCCTCCACAGCCACCCACCCTAACTATAACCTATATATATGCTAATGCTAGTGGTACGATTTTTTATTGGTAGGTCCTACAGCACCCACTTCTTGGTAGGCGATTCTTAAGCTTGCAAGAAACCCAAATATCAATCCTTATCCCTCCTGACTAGGTAGCTACCAACCGGATCAAAACACCAAAACCAGAAGAAAATTAAAGAAAACAATATTAATTATCTTCAAACAAACAAATAAATAAAGAAAAGTATGATTCTATCCAAAACCAGCTAATTATGGTGATATGTTATTATTATTTGTATAATTCTATGCACTTGACTTTACGATATAAGGATGATTAATTTATCAAGTTATTATACATATGTTTATCCCTAGCAGAACAAAATAAAGAATTGAAAGAAGGATTAGTAATTTTAATTTAATTTCTTCTTTGATTTATCACATCATTAGTTAGCCAACTAATGTGATTATTTGATGAATTATTTGACAATAATAATGGAAGAGGTGGAGAAAAGTGAGAGAGAGAGAGAGAGAGAGAAAGGGAGGGGACGAACCAGTGAGAGCTTGTAAGTTATTTTCGATTTCACGGCATGCCATGACAGCTTCAACGGCATGGACTCTGACATGTTGTTGAAGCTGTTCTTTGAGAGTACACAGCACTATCAAATATTGTGCCTGCAGCAAACAAGTAAAAAAAAAAAAAAACCACCATAAACAACAAAAACACTTTCCAATGTTAACCCCCCACCCCCAAAAGAAAACAACAGACAAAGCAAGAAAATCTCTCAAATCATAAAACAAAACAAAGAAAGTCCTCAAAAAACTATGGTCTAGGGGGAGGGGAAATTAGTCTTTGAGAAAAAATTAAGAAGAAGAAGAAGAACCGACTAAGAAGTTGTCAAGCTCCTGTCTCTCATTGGGGGATATGGAGTGGCCATGTTGGTGATGCTGTGAAGCATACGACCTAAGAAGATTATGAGACTGTGCTAACTGTGCATCGATCAAAGGCAACTGATCAATAGGTGTAGCAACACGGAGACAAGAAACATGAGCTGCTAAAAGCTGCTCATAAAGCGGATGAGTAGCTATCTCGGCCTTGAGCTGACGCTTCTGGTTACCGGAAACAGACACTTCACCACTGCTAAACCCTCCAATTGCACCACTCCCACCGCTGCTCATCATGCCTAACCCTGGTTCTTGCATTTCTTTGAACCATTCAAAGGAGATCAACTACAGCCAAGTACATACACAAAGTAGTAAAGGGAAAATGTAATAAGGACTGAAGCAGAAAAAAAAGGGGGGGGGGGAGTTTGATTTATATATATGTGTAAAGAAAACGATCAAGAAGTAGCAAAGGACCACAAAGAAACACCATTAAGCTGAGAGGTTACTATTGTAGTTTTTCTTGTAGTATTTTTAATGGGGAAGAAAGAGAGAAAAGAAGAGGGAAAGCAAAGACGGTTTATTTTTTTTCGTTAATGGTGTAAGAGATCAGCAGCAGTGTATTGGGATCTGAGACACAAGACTTTCTGCACCTTCCCCCTCTATAATATGTGCAGGTTTTTTACATACACAGAGAAAGTTACAGAAGCAAAAGCATGAAAATATATTTACATTTATTATATATTAAAAGAAAATAGAAATATTAGAGAAAGGGTGTGGGGATTTCTCAAAGTTTTGTTTTGTTTTGTTTTGAAGTGTCTGAGTGTAGCAGAGGGGGGCCTTGGAATCATTACAATGAAACGGTGTTTGGAAGAAGATAGGTCAGACAAAGCAAAGGGGGAAAAAAAGAACCCATTAGATAAAGCCACTTCTGTGGCCTGGAAATTTGATTGCTTTTTCCTTCTTCAATAAATAAATAATTTTGGATTTTTTTTTTTACTTTTGTTTTAAGATATAGTTGTATTTAAGCAAATAAGCAAGTGGGTTTGGTTGGAGTTTGGTTCATAAAGTAACTATTAATCAACCTCGAATTTTCAGATTAGAGTTGGATTAGCTGTGTTAATCCAAGATTATTAATCATAGTTTTTATATATTTGTTACCAAAATTATGATGAATTACAAAATCCACCCTCAAATTTTATCAAAATTACACCCTACTAATATTCACGTAGTGATCCCCTTTTCTGCATATTCCAGAACAAATTTAATTAATTTGGCATGTACAAAATGTCATGTGAAAAACTTGTTAATGGAGACAGAGTATTTATAATAAAAAAATAATTTATTTTATTACCCTATAAATAATAAATTGTTCCCTATAATTTTATCAGCCTTTATTGCAATATAATTCCTATATATTAAATAAAATCGTGAAAGTTCAAGTTTTTATTTCACTAATTAGTATATACTTTTAAAAAAAAAAATTTTTTAAAAAATAAAATTCAAATTTCAACCTATCTCTCCTTAATCAAAAGAAAAAAAAATGCTTACTTCGTTGTTGTTGCAATGTTAATGAAATTAAAGGAAAAACACTTCGATCAGCAAGTAAGGATAATTTTAATGGTAAAATTAAAACTTTATAAATTTTATAAACATAATAACTAAATAAATTTCATATATACAAATATCTAAATATAATATTTTCATTGACAATTGACACTCGGCCACCATCAAACTTTGATATATTTCCAATAAAAAATGAGCATGGGATGTTTCTTTAGAAACGCAATTGGATAAATTGGGCATGTTTTTTTTTTTTAGTGGAAAATCATGGTCGGATTCTCGGTACATCTGAAGGCAAAATCTTGGATGTTTCCCACTGGTGGTGGGCCCATTTTTAGGACAAAATTTAGGCAGTGGGTCCTACTCTATTTGAGGATTAAACGGAAAAAAAATTATATACTAATATTAATATACGATTTTCGATTCAACCGATTAAATTTATTATTTTTAATAAAAAAATTTTAAATTTAAATTTTATCGATTATTTATTATGATCATTCAATATATGATTTATAATTATATATTTTAAATTATAAAATATAATATATTTTATTTTAATTTAAAAAATTAAATAATTTATTTATCTTAAAATTTTTCTTCCAAAAAAAAAAAAAGTAGTAGTATATGATAATATTCTGGCCCGCTTGGGTTGGTTCCCTTCTGTTTTGGGTGAAAATGTTTGCGTTGGAAGCAAGTGAAAACTTTCTTAATTTTTCCTACCAAGAAAATTTTTTTTTATATCAACGCATATGTATTCGAAAACGAGCAAGAGAAAATAATTACTTTTTATTTGTACAACTAAATTTTTTTAAAGTTATTTGATATTAATATTTAATAACAGCTATAAAATCATTAAATTCTTTTTAATTTGTGCATGAAATAAAATAAATGGTTAATTTAGGAAGCAATATTATATGTTGTCCTTGATTTTTTTTTCTCTTAGCCATAAATAGGTCTAAAGATTAAAATATATAAGAAAAAATTTTCCCTAATAAAAGCTTAAGAAAAATTTTAGTATCTTTATTTTTATTATTAAGTCAAGGGAATTTCTGTCAATTTAAATAATAAAAAGATTTAATTTTGAACTTTATTTATAATAAAATATCTCTGCAAATTGCATGAAATTGAATTACAATAAACTTTGTTAAGTACAAACAAGAAAAGCAGAGAAAGAGTTGGAAGGTTAATTACGTAATTCCCAAGGAAAATAAATAAATAAAAAAAAGTGCCGCATCGGTCGGCGTTACGGGTCACCGTCACAGCTGTAGCTTTGTCCTTTTCTCAAACCTAAGATTGCGACACCCTCAAGGGACCACCCTATTTTATTTTTTTAGATTTTTTTATAAATAAAAACAGTGGTCCCTCCATGAATAAAAAAAATCTTAAATTATATATGAATTAAATAAATATAAAAAATAATCCTATTATATTATTATATAATGTACATAAAAATACATATAATGTACATAAAAATACATGTATGTATACGTATGCTTTAATTTTTAGATGGATGTGGGTGTTGTCAAAATCATCCACCCCACAACGTATCCTTTCATCTGTTTTTCTTTTCTTTTCTTTTTTTTTTTCTTTTGCTTTCATCCTTGATTCTTCTCTGACATTACAAAGTACACACCTTTAAAGTCAATAATCATGATTTTGATGATAACCCACAAAAATTAAAGCATGACATTATTAAATTATTGTTTTCCAACAAACCCAATAAACAATAATATAATATTCTTTAAGTTAAATTCCATGACCACTCCACTCAAAATTATTAACACTGTTAACAAAATTTAAATAATTATAAAATTACTTAAATGTTAAAAAATAATAAAAAATTCAAACACAATATTAAAAACCCAGCAAAAAAATTAAAAAAAAGAGAATTTAGGAATCAATTTAAAGGATTATTTTCCATGAAGGAATCAAAGAAAGGAAGGAGAGGAATAGGATGATTTTTTTTCTTTTGTGTTTCTTTTCAAGAAAGAAAATAAAATAAAAGAAAATAGCATTTTTTTAATAAAAAAATAATTAAAATTTTTTATTTTATTTTGACAACACAATATTTTTTCTTAAAAGAATCTTTTGACTTTAAAATAATGCAACATTTTTTTAAAAATATAACTTTGAAAAAACAAAATTTAGAAAGTATAAGAAATTTTTAATTAAAAATTAAGCAAGACCGTAAAAGAAATTTTCATTTGAAACAAGCGAAATAAAATATTTTTTAATTTTAATTTTTAAAAAAATTGAACTAAAAAACGTATTAATTTTTTATCTTTCTATTTTGAAAAAAAATAAATAAATGAAAATAATAAATTTATAATTTTTATATTATAAAAAAGTAAAAAAAAATTTAATTGAGTATTTCAAGTTATTTTTCATACAAAGATATAATGATCTTTATAACATCCTCTTAACAGAGTTTTTAACGTTAACGACAGAGCTAATTTATCTGACCAAATTAAAAACTTTGGGGTGAAATATACATTTCCAAAACTAATAGACTTAGGTTGAACTTTGATTAAATTTAAAAGATTTAGATGCAATTTGCACCATTCTCTAATTGTCTAATTTGTGATATTCGTTTGATATCTACTATCACACTCTCGTAAGATTTTTTTTTAATTTATATGAGTTTAAAATTTTAATTATTACATAAACATATGATAAATTTATAAATTGGTTTGTAATATTTTATTTTTTTATATATAAAATGATAATCTTATGTTACAAATAGCATTCATTTTTAAAAATCTTATTAGAAATTAAAAATCATTATCAAATGTCGAAGGACGAAAAGGGGCAGGTCGACGTGGGTGCTTAGTCGGAAACTCCTCACCCTATTATTGGTTATGAGCTTTTACGGGTCCTCAAAGAAATTTGGACATTGGTTGGTCGTGTTATGGTGCAAGTTTCAAAGGGTTTTAACCACGAATGCTTAGATATTGTAGTTGCCACAGCGACACGTCAATTAAAGGCTTGGTCGACGACGCTGACTCTACAAGAAGCAAGTGATGTTGAAGAGCTGAACGCAAATCCAGAATTGCCCAGAGAGAATAAAACCTACGTCAGCCACATACATAAAATTTAATCCCGAATGCTGCACTTGTCAATTTGTTATGCCAGTCACATCGCCATCACGCCTCTGCCCCATATGTGCTGCTTCGTTCATAACAGTACAATAAAATTCCCTTCCCCATGTCATTTCCACACTGTGGCCTTCGCTTTCACATTCGTTGGGCAGGTTTATGAATGGGACCAAAAATTGCAATTTCCCAGAAGCATAGGCCTTGAATGGATTAAGTTATATTGCACTACGAACCCCTTTTTTTAACAGTCAAAAACCTTTTTTCTGAAACTAAAATTACATGTAAGGTTAATCAGGGTTTTTATTAGTGTCCAGAATACATTTACAGTACAGAGACTTCCCAAATGCATTATCGCGAAACTCACAACACGATACACTTTTCTTTTGATTTTGCATCTTGCTGCTTTGACGATGAAGATGAAGAGCTCCTTCCACTGTTTCGCGGCACCTGCAAGATGCCACTTTTGTAAATACTAACAAAGTCGATCTATGAATTTAACTCACCCGGATGTAGGATGTAGGATTCAAGAATCAGTGATCAGATACCAAGATGAATGTTATTTAAGAATATCTAGAAGGAAGAGGAAATAAAATACCTGGGGACCTGTTACTAATCTTGAAGCACCAACAAGTGGCTTCTGCATATTCTGCCGCTGTGGCTGTTGTTCAAACTCTTGTTGCTGTAAAGCTATTGCGAGCTGTAAATCCGAGCTGTGATGACAACATCATAGAAATATAAAAAATGGTCATCGCTGAGCATAAAGAAGAACCATTAAAAATGTTTTTAGAAGATTTTTTAATACATTCAAAGAAATATTGAAAAGATATTTTAACTTGACCACTATTCCAAATAAATAATTATAAAATACAGCAACATTTCAGAAATATTTTCTAATGAATTTATTAAATCCAGAGAAGAATGGCTTCCAATCCAAGAATTAAGCAGTTATTGAGATTCATTAGTAACTACTGACATCTAGAAAATTGTTGTAGAACAAATTAATATAAATATAGATAACCAAAAGTTGGGATAATTACGTTATGTCCAATCCAGCTTGAGCTGCAGTATCAATGCTAGCAATGTAATCCTGCATCGCATAAATCTTAGGTAAGTTTCATTAAAGCCATTCAAACCAACCGTCACTTTTTCTTGCTGAAGGGAAATACGTACAGCAGTACTAGCCATAACATTTTGTTCATCCCAAGTACCAGTGGCATGACTATCAACCTTGAATTCCTTGAAGTTGCCAGTCATAAAAAGTGTGTCTCCATTGACCTGAAAGCATGGGAAGTTAAATTTGGGATACCGAACTTCAAAAAAGAACCAATAACAGAAACAACTTAGGATTACAACAGTTAAAAGGTTTAAATTTAAAAAATTTAAGATCTTAAGCAACATATTTCTCTCATTTTTCAAAATTTTTTTATTTATTAGGAAGTTGAAAGGAACAAAAACAATGAACAACAAAGAATTGGAGAAAATACATCATCAGATGACCATTTAAAAGGTACTAGTGTTATGGATCAGATAAGGAAAAATATACATCTCAGAAGCAATTTTCCATTTTCTTGCCATTTAAGCACAGTTGATTAACTATGAACCTTTTTAAAGCATAACATGGAGAAAGATCTAGTTTTCCTCAAAGCACAATATGTTGATTTCAGGGGTAATTTTCTGCTTCCCTCTCATAACCATAGTTGTTACTGTCAACAATGGAAACATCCACAGGCCACAACCTCCAATACTAAAACCATTAGCTACCTTAGATTTTTGTTTCCTTAGTTTAGATGTTTTCCACTTTTCTCATAAGGTCAAAGCAAAAAGCATGTAATCATCCCAATTAAACATCAAGACATACTTCATGAACGCCCCATGATGCAGTGGCCACTGCACTACTAGCCAGGGATCTTTCTTAATTACTACGATATACTGAGACTTTAAAATTAACGACGTAAATAATCCACCTTACTAATTTTGACTACAATTATAAATGACACCCAAAACTCAATGAAGTGATTCTCGGTTAAGAAGATTGCTATGTAACAATTTTTACCTCAGTTAGTTTCTCCCAAACCAAATCGGGTTGATTTAGATAGCCTTGGTCAGTAGCTAAAAGATAGAGTTCACGGTCATACTGCAAAATAAAATGAGATCCAATGAATCAAGAAATAATGAAAGTGAAGCAAATAAAGAAAACTGGTTCTCAAATTGGCTTACTAATTTAGTCAAACAAGTATAATTGACAGTTCACAGACAGCCACGGGCAATAATTCACAGAAAAAGTGGTTCCAGCTCCTAACCTTAAACATGGTACTGAAATGATTATTACGAAAAAAAACACAAAGCTCACGTTCCTTAAGACCATCTCGTAAGCAAAAAAGCCTGCAAAATATATTAATAGTCACTAAACAGCAACCTTCCTCATACCATAAAGATATAATGATGTAATACACTCAACAATAAATTAGAACTTTAAACAAATAAAAAGCTACTCAACATACCCATTAAAGGTCAATTGATTGGCATTGTTCTTCAAGAAGTTTCCAATCAGTTCCCCTAAATAGCATTAAGAATATGAATGGCAGGTTACCTTGAATGAATGCATGAAAATAGAAGACTAAAAAAGTGCATTTGGATAAAAAAGGAAACAACTTCTTTTAAGAATTTAAAAATTAAACTTACATGGATAAGAAAATATATTATTTTTCCTCTATAACAATTCTTGGGGAAGTAACAAGCAACTAGCAAAAGGTAAATAACAAAAGCAACGAGCCATGGAGCTCAAATCAATGGAAGAAAGATATACACATTCTATAAGGATATAGAGTTACATTTTCAATAAGGTGCACCACTAACCTTGTTGAGGAGTAATTTCATCTTTAGACGTCACATTGTAGCCCTCTAAAGCACTTTTTTCAGCTTGTTTTGCAAGAATAACTTCACCTTCATATATAGGTTCTCGGTCCTCATATGTTGTTACTAAATCTAATATACATTCTTCTCCTTCATATATAGGCTCACTTTCATCAAGACTAGAAGTAAAAGCTTCTAGCACATCTGCATGATGTATTCTGCCACTAGATGAATCTGAACCCACATTTTGTAAAGACACAGATGATACTTCTATCGAGTCACACCTATTCACATTATCCAGAATGTCATGAGCACCAGTTGCAGAAGTGGATTGAATCTCGATATCTTCACCCCATTGTGAAATTTCAGTGTTGTTTCCATCAATAGATGCATTATCCTTTGCCAGAGAAATGGCAACTGCACCTTCAATCTGGAGCAATTCATCGGCATTACTCCCCTTAATGACCATTGTCTCAACATTACTCTTCTCAACCACATCATTAGAAAGGGTAATTTCTCCAGATTTAATATAAGATGATTGATCCTGATTAATTCCATCAGTCTTTGGGAACTCTTCTCTTGTAAGGGTCTCAAAATATGTCTTACTAACACTATAATTGCTCAAGGAAGTGCAATTATCAGAAAAGGAAGGTTCGTGCCAATGCAAGTTCTGATTTCCAACACATTTGTCCCCTTCTTGTGTATCTACAGAAACAAGGTTCTTTGAAAATGATCTTTCATCTAAACTGCCAGAATCACCAACAGAGGTTGGCAATTCAGCCTCTGATAATTTCAAGGCTCTCAATAGCTCTGCTTCCTCCTCAAGATCCCCTTTTCTTAATATTTGGTGATCGGAAGCAGAACAAGGAGAATCATCAAAAGATCTGGTTTTTGACAGGCTAGGAGAGGGAACTCCTAGTGTGGCAGCTGTTGCAGCAGCAAAATCCACACAATCTTCAGAATTATTTTTATGTGAAACCTCCATATTTCGTGTTTCTAGTGCAACAAGCTCCCCCATAATTGCATTGTACGATTTTGACCCAATGGCAGTAGCAGTTTCATAGTCCTGGCAAACGCCATGAAAATAAACCATTAAATCCTGGTCCAACTAAATGTATTATATGATATATGATCAAACTAAAATCAAGATGTAAAGGACCAAACCTTGTAACCTGAAACCTAGAACTATATAGGAATGGATCAGAACAATAACAGAAGTAGTAATATAATGCTAATTAGAAACAAAATGGCATAGTAAAGACCAAATTAATGTAAATTAAGCCAACAATAAACTAAGCAGATAATAAATTAATTTTCAACAATAATCTTGAAAATTAAGCCATACAATCAGAAAATAAATTAACATCATAATGATTAACAACTTAGCAGACGTATCAGAAATTGAATAGCTTGGCCAACAATCTCCAACAATAAACATAAAAAACAACAATATTGAATTCAATTGAAAGCATGAAAGTAAAATTTGTTTCCCATGAATTTAGCATGACACTACTGATTTATCACCGTAATTATTCTACCAAAAAAGTAAGTTAATGGTCCCCATCCAATCATCTTCCAAATAAATTCATCTCAAAATGTGATATTACTCAAAGTCCAAATCCTCCCAGCCACGCTTTTGACCAAACAACCAAACAGCACCGGTTGTTGAACCCATAATTGATAGGCAATACACATTAGACATCTACGCCAGGATTAGTTCTATCTCAAAACATTAGAAATTTGATACAGGGCAGAATCTAAAGTCCAATGCAAATTACATCATAAAATGAATGTCTAGCCAAACAAGTACAGAACAACTTGAAATATCTCTGGTCATGTAGCCCACATGCACCCTTTTCAACCATGATGCACAAATCTGTCCACTAATGCCACTAGAGTCCAATACCTAGCTATATCATCTCAAGGAGGTAAGTTGCTGAGACAATTGAAAACAAAATTTCCTTGTCTAGGGGTTAGTAGTCTTTGTCTTGAACAGCTGGGTCCACAGTTTACTTTGGCAGCCCTTACTCATTTCAAAAATGGAAGTTACACACTATACAGCAGTGCTAACTCCTATATTCAAGGTCATACAAGAAACTATAAATTCTTCAGCACATTGCTTCAACTATTGCAGCCCTAATTTTGGAACATTAGATAGAAATCAATACGCTTTACTGTGCAAATGTTCCTTGGTCCAACCTATAGTTTTCTATGCAGTCAAACTTAGAGCTGCTATGTTCAAACAAATAAAGCACTTTTACAGCTGTTATTGCAAAGAGTAAAAGAAATTTTTTATTTAATTTTTAGCTCATACTTTGATAAGATCAAATGTCTTAAGGCCTAAAGGCATTCAATCTCTCAGTACAAAAGGGAAGATCTTTTTGTTGCCAGTGTTTCACAAGGAGCAAGCATACTGAGAAAATTATCTAACTGATAAAAGGAAGAAGAGTACTAGGCACATAACAAGCTTCCAGGGTATATATAAGGAGCCAGACAGGATTAATAAGATGACATGATGTGTACCCCATCGAGCAATACAAGATGCACATGATAATCATTCAATCAACTATGGCAATAACATCATATAACATACACATATCTTATTAGCTTAGGAATACTTTCATATGTGTCATACGTGGCTAAAAGGAGCATACCTGGGGATCAACTATCCAACCATGATAGAGGGGAATATCAACCAGATCAAATATAGCACACTCGGGAGTGAACTCAAAATCATCTATTCTGCAAGTTGTACACATACTTCAATAAAGGCTCCAGAAAGAGGCAATTTGCGGGAGAAAAATAAAGAGAGAAAGAAAAGAAAAAGCTAACCTCCTGAATTTAATATTTACATCAATCCCTGTGGCAAGGCGGGGAAGTAAATCAATTGCATCGGCAATATTCTGCTGTTGATTTTCGACATATCCTGCATCTTTATTCTACATGCAAAATGATTCATCAGTATCATTCTACCATAACAGCAACAAGCAAATGAGCCAAGCATTAAAAAAAAAAAAAAGAAGGAAATTACATTGATATTACTGTTGGAATCAATGAGGTGTTCGGCTACCAGTGAAAGTAATTTCTCCTGTGAAACTTCAGTTATATCAGGACTCAGGTTCAAATTGTTCCGTAAAAGGAGAACATTACCTGTCACAGCCCCCAAAAAGATGTTCGTTGTCAAAAACTTAATTAGGTCCAGATCTAATTTCCATAGAAAATCATAATATTGACCAATTAGAAATTAGATCATGTTTCTAATTCAATTTATTGACAAATAATTCCTTTTCTAAATCTTATCATCTTTCTTCTTTCATTCACAGTCTAAGGTCTTTCACTAGCAACAGGAGGACCAATAAATAACTAAAACAATAAACCCTAAACAAAGTCAAACATTCGAAATGCTCAAAAAGATAGATGCTTGATCGCTCCCGAAAACAACCAATAGAAAATAAAATCGAAATCCCCCACCTTTTTACTAAAATTTGAAACCTAAGACCTAAACCAAAGACTAAGTAAAATAACTATAGAATTTTCAATCCGAATTTCGTAAGCAACGATATAATAACAAAAAATAAAATAAAGGAACAAAATTTAAAACCCTAAAAATTGAGAGAGAGAGAGAGAGAGAAAGAGGTGTTACAGATGGCGAGGAGAGGGCAAGGTCCATTGTCGTTTTGGAGAATAATAGGCGTAGTACGACCTAAGAACTCAATTGCCTTAGTCTTGTGTATGCACTCTTTAATTCCTTCTTGCTTTTGTTGTTCTTGATTCTGTCCTTCTTTCACTGCTTCTTCCTTCGATTCACATACAGAATAAAGTGAAGAAGAAGAAGAAACATCAACACCAGCAGCAGGAGGTGGAGCAGCCGCGAACATTTTTTTTTTTTTTGGTCTTTTCTTTTGCTTTGAAGCAATGGAAATATATTTACTAAAATTATACTTGCGCACTAAAAACGACTTGCTTTTTCTACCGAGATTTTAAACTTTGGGGAGAGAAATCACAACAGAAGGCGAAGAAAATATCAAGTAAACGATCATTTTAGGGGGCCTTTTTTGGGACGGCAACACCAAAGGGATTTTTTTTTCTTATTTTTAATAATTTGATTTTATATTTTTACAAAGATCACAATTTAAGAATTAAATCTATTAAATATTGTGATTGTATAAATAAAATGAAATAAATTTTATATTTAATATTCAATTTAATTCTCATTTTAATTAATTATATCTCATGGTATCTAAATAAATTTATTACATTAAAAAATTTTCGACAAAAAAATAATCACAATTATTGCGTTTGTTTTCAACAAACGTAATATCTAACCAAAAACCTTATCACACATTGATTTTTAAAAAAGTAAAATAAAAAGAAAATATTTTTTATTCATATATGGGATAAAAATAATTTTTTTAAAATTTAAAAAATTTATAAAAAAATGAATTTTTAATTTCAAAATTTTTTGATATTATTAAGAATATAAAATTATATTAAGAATCAAATATTTTTAAATTAAATATGAAAATCATATTTTTACAAATATAAATTCCGAAAACAATTTTAAATTTTTTCGCACTAAACGTTTTTATTTTATAAAAATTTATTTATGTTTATTTTTGTTTATACGATCCTTTATTATTGAATGTCATCTTTGCCAATAAAAACTCTTTACTACTACCATAAATTCATAAATAGCAAAATGGCAATGAAGAAATTATCACATGTTGTAAAAAAATGTTATCGAATCGAAACAAGTTTGGTATAAATGGGGTAATTATTTCATTGAAGTAGTCGTAGTACTGTTAATATTTTGGTTGCTTTTTATACGGAAAGATAATTTTTCACGAGTGAGGCAGGTGAAGGTAACGATTGTCTGAAAGACTGAAACCAGCCGCTTTTGTGTCGTGTGGCAGAGTTGGATTTTGTTTCAAGCTTGGGTTTTTACCATTTTTTTTTTTTGTCTTTGTTTCGGGCTTCCACCGATTTTGGAACCCAAAACATTATGAGCAAAAAGAAAGTTGGGCCTCATCCAACCAAATGGGTTATGGCCATATGGGTCATTAGTCATGGGCCAAACAGAGGTGGTGTTAGGAAATGCGTAGTGAAATCGGTCATTGGTGTGATCACAAGCTTGGTAAAATTAAATCTGTAGGGCCTAGAGTACCTGTTGCATGGTCATTTTCACTGTTCATTTGTACAAATCGAAATCATTTCCAAGATGGTGGGTTGCCTATTTACCACATGGGATCCCAGAATACAGAGTGTGATTGTTGTACGGAAATGTAAGGACTTGGGTTCATGGATGACGTAACGTTTAGATTTTGTAAATATATAATTATAAAAAGAGTTATCCTTATTTTTTTTGCTTTTCTTTTATTCTTTCTCTCTTGATTTTTTATTGATTATTGGTTGTTTCTAATTTATTCTAATTAAATTTTTTTAAAAAAGTCTCTAATCCCAATTACAATAAAAAAATGAGTTTTTTAATTTTGAATCTTTTAATCAACTTCAACCTTAAATTTTTAATTTAAATCAATCTCTCAACCTAATTCTTTTTTATGATCTTTTTTAAATTAAAATATTTTCAATTCAATAACTCAATTAGAATTAAACATTTTTTCAAGTTTCAGCAAAATAATTCTTTCTCTTTTTTAAATAGTAATAATAATTCTAAACTAAATAGAATACCAAAAATAAATAAAAATTCAAAGTTTAATATTAAAATATAAATTGATCATAAACTAAATAAGGTGTCTACAACTACTTTTTTTTGCGCATTCTTTATGAAACAGGAATTGTGCAAATATATATACACCAATTACGTCCAGATTTAATACAAAAAAAAAAATCTAAAGATTCTCATCTACAATAAAAATTCGAAATTGAAATTCAAAAATTTGTAAATAAAAATTTAAACATTCACAATTTGAAATTAAAGAATTCTCAATTTGAAGTTCAGAAGTTTGCAACTAAATTAAAAATTTCTTAATTTGAATTTAAAGGCTGGCAAAACATTTAAGGTTCTCTCCAAAGTTTAAAGATTCGTAAATAAATTGAACTCAAAGATTTACAAAAGTTCAAGGTTCATAAAAGATTCAAAATTCTCAAAAATTTAAGATTCGTAAAAGTTTAAAGATTCATAGAAAGATTCTAGATTTGCAAGTGATTTAAGACTTGCAAAAATTTTCAAAGATTCATAAAAAATTCAAGATTCACAAAGATTAAAAAATTCATAAAATATTCAAGATTTGCAAGAGATTCAAAGGTTCACAACTTTCAAGATTTGTGAGTGATTTAAAAATTTGTAAAAGATTCAAAGGTTCACAAGTGATCTAAAAAATTCAAAGATTTGCAAATATTTTAAAAATTCACATTTGAAAAATTTTAAAGATTTACACCTAAAATTTCAAAGATCCTAATTTGGAAATTTTAGAGATTTATATTTAAATTTCAAAGATTCGTAATTAAAACTCTTAAATATTCAAATCCAAAATTAAGGTTTTCTTTCAAAAATCTTAGAGATTCACATCTAAGATTCAAAGTTCACATTCAAAAATTTTTGAAAATTCTCGTCAATGATTCACATTTAAAAAGGTTTTCTTAATAGTTTTAAATCCCATCCTAATAAAACCTTATAGACAATGGCTTAACAATTTTTGAAAAAAAAAAAAACTTATCTAATCAGATACTCAACAAATTTTGAAATATAGAAATGGATTTTTATTTAAAAAAGATCAAAGGTCATTCAAATATTCAAATTGAAGATTTAAGGTTTTCACTGAAAAAGTTCTCAAAATTTACATAATTTTTTGAGATTCGCATCAAGGATTCAAATATTCACATTTGAAAATCTTAGAGATTTACATCCAAGCTTTAAAGATTCTTAATTGAAAAGTTCACATCTAAAATTCATTATCTTAAGGATTCACATCAGAGATTCTCACCTTGAAATGAAAAACCTCATCTGAATAGAGGATATGAAACTTTAAAAACTGAAAGAGCTCCTTAACCAAGGTTTACCAACTATTTTCAAAGTCATTTTCTTCATCCAAAGGTTTCAAACTTTATCATCACAAAGTTTTCCTCATACAAGGATCAAAATCTCATTAAGAGGCTTTATTTTTGCAAAATATTTCCTCAATCGAAGATTATTACCTTGCTCATTTTCTAAAAATTTTTCATTAGGAACCAAAATCTTATCTTCAAAAATTATGCTCCACTGAGGATTAAAACTTCACATTTCGAAAAACTTATCCTTAAGAAAAAATATTTCATATTCTCACCATTCAAGATCCAATATCATAAGTTCTTACAAAATAAATTAGATGAGTGTAATATTTATGAATGCAATGTATGAATGCAATGCTTATAAATACAACTCTAATTATGGCAAAAAAGGTTTTCAAGATCATTCCAGTGTCTTCATTCTTCAAGTTCACAAATCCTTCTTTTTCAATCTCTTAGGTGATCATAACTGTCCCATGATCTATTTTTAATTTTATTAATCAATCTCATCATTTATAATTTATCTTTTCAATTTTTCAATACTAATAATTTCAGAATTAACTCACAAATTTCATTAACTAATCTATTTTCATCATTTGCTCAAAACTTATAGACTCCATTAACTAATCCATTCCTATTTTCATAATTTAGTTACCATATCTATAAAACATTTTCAAATCATCTTTTCAGGCTTCTTCTATCTTTTTATTTCCCTTTTTTTTCCTTTTCTTTGCCATTTTAGATATTATTTTAAGTGAATGTAAGAATCTTTTATGAATATTATCATTCATTTATTTATCATCATTTCAAGTTCATAAAAAATATAATGCAATTATACATCTCCTTAATTGGTTTTGGGGATGCAAAAGTTGGTAAAGAATAAGAAAAATTAGAGAAAATGGGTATTTGTTGTTGAAATAAATAAAAAAATATAGTTAAGAACAAATTAAAGACGAATAAAAGTAAATCACTACAACTGCTTGGGTGATAAATTAACATCCAAATAATGAATATTCAGACAATTTTGAATTCTAATTTAAAATTCTTTCTTAAAAACTTATTCTATTGAATTTTCAAATCATTGAGCTTATCAAACCTTGCTCTAATTAAGTAGAATCTTTTATATAACATTGATATTTTCAACTCAAACATTTTTTTACCCAAATTATCTTTTTGAGTTTTCAATTTGAGTTTTCATTTTTTACTTTGTTCTTTTTTTTTCATATCTTTCTCATTTCTCATTTTTTTTTTTCATTTTTCATTATTTTTTTTCATTTTTTTTCACTTCATTCATTGTTGACATCCCCATTTAATTTCAAACAAATCCCAAAATACTAGATAAATCATGGCTCATTTTTGTATTACAAACATACCTTAGTTCAATATTTGACTCTTTAATTCAAGCATTTACATCTGATCAAAATGAACTTTTAAGATACGTGACATAGGTTAAGATAAAGGGTTATGAAAAAAAAGATAAAATAGGCTCAAAATATGTGTTTAAAGGGTTATGAACTAAATGATCATTTTATCATTTGAAGCATATTGGTTGCCTCATTTCTTAACATTTTATTTTATTTTTCATATTTTTTTATCTTTTTATTTTTCACCTCTTTTATTCTTCATTAGTTTCTTTTCAAGCAAAATTTATTCACAAAGAGTTTCTTCTACTTTACTCCTAGGATAATTTGTGGTGTTTGTCTTTCTTTTAATGAAAGAGTTTTTTTTTTTAATCTTCATCTTTAAAACTTTTTATGATTTTTCTTTACAAACAAATCTTTTTCAAAATTTGTCTCTCAATGTGGAGAGTAGTCCTTGGTTAGAGTTTTTTAGAAAAAGAATCATAATAGGCTTAAAAGGGTATTAATGGATAAATTTTATTTTCTTGAAAGGTAAATAAAGATGGTCTTTTCTTATCTCAAATATAAATACTTTATTTGAAGACCATTTTATTAAACATATAGTTGTTTTATGGATAGATCACCATAAAAGACTACATGCTTATGGGATGTCTCTATTTACTTTTCAATAAATGGTCAAATAATCTTTACAAGTTGTTTTTGAACTCCCTTTAGACAACTTGTTCAAATAATCTTAACAGATCAAGTTTATTAATATGAATGAGTTTTTAAAA